TCACCGTAAAAATGAAGGCTCTCTCCACCGCACAATGAAGTTTAATTTAAGAGGCGAATGAATGAATCATAGAATCATGCAGCGTTATGATGTTATCCTTATGGAAACACTTAAAAAAGACAGCCCCTACGGCAGAGCGTGTCGAGCACGCAACACAAATTTTCTGATCACGGCCGTTACGATTTTCTGTTTTTTTTTTTATACAAAAGCAGAATGGAAAAGTCCAGGTGTGCCGGGCCGGAGAGATAATGATTTTAGCCAACTAATTGTGATTCACTGAACACAAACCTGCCATTGTTAATCAGACGCTGTCTTCTTCTTTTTTCCACGCTGTAATTCCCATTGCAGGTGTCTGATGAAAATGTGCATTCCCTGTAGTTTTATTTTTGTATCCCGCGCATGACCAGTTTCAGTGAGGATAAAACTGCTCATGTTTTTATCAAATGTAGAATTTCCAAGACTTGCAATAAGAAATCCCGAAATCGTCGCACATTCATGCAATTTTTGACAGCTATCGTAAGGAGCCCAAACATACAGTACATGCCATTTTATAGTAAATGTGGAACTTTGATGTTCAATGTCACCCAAAAGAAAAAAAGAATAGTTTAATCCGCAGGCATTGGAATCAATGTCCTTATTGTGATGCAGCGATTTCACTTAGGGTGAGATCTCTACTAGACCATGGAGTTTCAAGAACTGGCAGATCAACCACTTTTTATTTATTATTATAATTTTTTTCTTTGGTTTTTTTCTTTCTGTTGATGTGTTTAATATCTGTTCTGTGACTACAAAGATAAACTACAAAGTCAATGTGGTGTGTTCCATGCAATATCAGATAAGGGCCAAATATCTCTCCTGAAAAGAACAATGAGGGGGGGGGGGGGGGATACTCTTCAAACTGGTCGTTTCCTTCATTTATTATTAAAAACCAAAGGGTGTGTGAAGAAGAGGACGGCTGCAGTAATGTTTGCAGTGACCAAAAACGGAGCGGGCGATGACAATTGGGAAAACGTAGGTTTAGGGCCAGGAGAGGAAAAGGGAGCGTTTCGGTGAGGAGATTTCAACCTAGAGGTAAATATCCACGAGGAATAGGAAAAATAAACCGGGAAGGCAAAAAGCTTTGCTGGGAACAATGTGAAACAGATACTTCAACTGGACCATGCTATGATTCCTCTTTTCCTCCTTTGTATCCTTTGAAATGTTTAAGCCACCTTTTTCGGGGGTTTTAAGCATATTTTTGGCTATGATTGTGGTTCAGTTTTCTTATTCTTTTTTATATAAAAGAAAAACAAAACCTCCTGGTCCAACTAATAAGCTGGGTACAAGGTCTCTAAAGGCAGTCATTTTATTGTTATTATTTCACCGCTTATTAAGTAAAAAACTAAAAAAAGGGCAATCTGGTTTCCAGAAGTATTAATATCCAGGGCAGCTGTGGGGACGGGTCCAGTTTCAGCCTCGACCGTGAGAACAGCGAGCTCATCCACACGCCCCCCCTCTCCAACCGCCCCGTCATCTGGCTGCACTGTGTTGGGATCGAAAAAGGAGAGCGCTGTAGATTAGAAACATTTCTCGCATGTGGAGCTGACGTTACTAAAGATAACAGCATGAGAAAAAAACATTTGTACGCATACCGTCAGTTCAAACCTATAGGGAATGATTTCAAGTTAAATGAGGGAAAATAAATAAAAATGTCACTCAGTTGCACTTTATGTGTATTGTCTTGCATGTGTAGTCTGATACTGTAGAGAGAAAACTACAAAAAAATGAAATTAGAGTTTTGTTTATCAAAAGGTTTATCCTTGTTTTCTTATCATTTTTTTGCCAACCAATCCAAACCTCAGGCCTTTTGTTCATCCTCTGTGTCACGTCCTCCGCTGTAACTGATGGGTTGTTTTAAGGGCGTTCCAATATTGGTTTGTACATACATGTCGGTAAAAGTCTCTTCCTCTCTTTGTCTTTTTTCTTTTTTTTTAAGATCAAAAGATTGTGTTATTGCTTATCGCGACCTGCTTTGTATTAACTATGAAATAGCTAATAGAAAAAACTGCTGTATGATTGGAACTAGCAAAACTGTGCTGCAAATGTTATTTTACTTAGTAATCCTTGCTTTTAAAAAAAAAAAAAAAAAAAAAAATCATTCCATGCAGACATCTGGGCAGGCCGGGGGCGGAGATTATCCGCCCATTTTTGGATTTTAAAACTGTAATATAGAAGAAAAGACTTTTTCTCTGTTTATCATTGAACCTAAGCAGTTTGTACACACGATTTGTCCCTCTTGTGTGTTAAAGCTGTTTTTGATACTTCCTTTTTGATTGGTCCAACCACTGCCTTCTGTGGCGGTATGTTAGAGATTACTGCTCTGACGAAAAAGGGCACACAGGTAATATTTCCTCTACGGGGCGGAGATATCTGCATGACTAATCCCAGGGGTCAACAGAGAAGGGGGAGGGGGGGAAATAAGTTTTAAGTGGTCAGTAATAATATAAGGGTGTAACAATCTAATGATATTTTATATGAAATGAATAGGAAAAAGTAAAAAAAAAATATGCAGTGCCAAGATGTAAAGAATATTGTTAAATGCTTTTTTGTTTCGTTCATTTCACGCACGCATCAAAGATGTGTCCTTCTCATCCATGTCATGTAGGTATTTTGTTCGGCATCAAGATATTTATATTTTTATCTCAAAGGGTCATTGTAAATGAGTCAAACCAAGCACAGCGGACAGGTCAAAGGTCAGACGCCCTGCAAACTGCGGCATCAGATCCCCGACATCACACGCTGGCAACAAAAAAAAAACGCCATTGTTTCATCCTTCACCAACCATCCAGCCCGCTGTCATCGTCCCCCTCTCTCACACACTCTCTCCAGAAAGAGGGGGAGGGAGGATGAAGGGGGG